TGTATCATTGCCTGTGGTGACTGTTTTGGGTAAATAAGATGGTTCTGGGTTAATATTTTAGAGAAAAGAAAGAGATGGGTGGGGTACACTAGGATGACCATGTAAGCAACTGCAACCAACTTAAGTAGATGTTTCTATAAACATCGTGACGATTTCACTAAAGACTTTTGAAATCACCTATTCATCCACCAAGAAGAGAATCTAGGAGAAATCAGAGAACAAATTAAACCACCCATAAGACTAGCAGTCAGAAAATGGAAGGAGCCCATTCTACTCACAGACTGAATTATCATTGGATTCCAGGATTCATAAGAACCTAAAGGTCAAAGAGTTCAACCATCTATGTAAATTGTTCAACTACAGGGAGGAGGAAATTTTCAGTATCTTACTGCCAACACCACCAGATAGAGCAGGCAAGTCATGAGGTAGAGTGAGAAATGGTGAGGGACAAGCAACTTAACTCTGGTTAATATTTTCTGGCCCTCCCAAGGCTTGTCCCATAAACAGTACAGTGTCCAACTGTATTACAATTGGTTCCTGAATATGAGAAGGATGTGCCCTTACCTCTTTCTCCCTTATCTCTCCTGTGGGCACCTGATACCAAGAACTGAAAAGTCCTCACTCTGATCAACTATACATAACCTCTACATATAAGAGATCAAGAGATAGCTTTCCTGACATGGATATATGTATTCCATCTGCCTTTACTAGAAAGGTGTGTGTTTTAATAATTGGGTTACTTTGTTGCTTAAAAGTTACTTTGTGTTTTATTAAGCCTGTGTTTCAATGCACACACAAACATGTGCACACATTGTCACACATACTAATCCAAGATGAAGAAACACCAAAATGCTACAGTGGTTATCTCTGTGGGAGAGAGTTGACAGGCAAATTTCATTTTTGCTCATTTATGTCTTTTACTTTTTCTATAATGAACTGTATTACTTGTATAATTTTTTTATTTAAAAAGAAAGTTTGTAAGAAACTAATACATACATTGCTTTTGATTCCTAAAGACTGACCACTGAATTCCACTGGTGTTAGTTAAGTCCAGAGTATCTCCAGCCATTTTCCCTATGACCCTCCCCCCACATTTGGTAACTAGTTATTTCTATGAGCACAGAGCCCTGTTGCAATATTTTGTGTTATTTCTTCCTATAGATGGATTCCCCAAAATTGTGTTTGGAATAAAGCAATGCGCAGTGAGTTTTCCTGTAGATGTTATTAGATTTCTTATTAAATTGGAACCACAGCACCATCAGTTACCTACCAGACAGTGGCATATACAACCTTGGGACTTGGGGTTAATGAGAAACCTAGCCAGGAAGCAAAGACTCTTTTGAATGTAATGGGTAGTGGGTTAGATAGCCCAAAGTAGAAAGTGGAGCACATTGTATAAAATTCAGACTGCAAATCTCCACTTTTGGTGATGGTATCTGAATCAAACTGGCCTGGTCATCGTGATTTTCATTTCTATATTGTGGGAAAATGGTATTGCCCTTAAGCTCTCTTTGGTCCTGTCTCACTGTATTGAACCTAGTGATCAGAGCAAAGAAAGAAGGACCGAAGCTAGTTGATTAGTGAGCATGCATCTCCTCAGATCACTAGGTCTTGGATGAGCTTCAATCTGGATGTGTTAGTTTTAATCTGAGTGGAATCTTGGTTTCTTTACCAAAAATCAAACTTTCTAATGCAGTTTTCATTAGCTCTGAAGTTTGGCCCCCTGAATCGGCATTATTACCTCTTTCAGAAATCTTTTCTGAGATCTTTAGCCTTCTCAGGCACAGCTCCAGGCTTTTAAACCTCCTTATCTGCAGGTTCCAGATATATCCCTCCTGCTCACGTTCTTCACGATTGGCCAGCGGCAGAGATCTTGAAAACTGTATGCCATCCATAGAGGGAGCAGGTGTTAGACACTGGGGTTTCAGCATGAATGTTTTGAGCCCTGCCCTCTAGCTGGAACGGTACAAACCTATACTGAATCAAAGATTATGGTCAAAGGGAAGAAAAAATTCACAGGTCGTTATAATATAGATATAAAAGGACTACTATTGGGGAAGCACAAGGAGGTATGGGAGTACCCAGTTTAGACTTGAGCTGGGGGGTAGGCAGGAAGGCTTCTCAAAGGGTTTCCCCTCTGTGATTCTGGACATAGCACTATCCTAGAGCCTTCCACATTATATGCAGATGATCTGTTATTGTCTTTTTTCCCCACCGCACAGAAAGCTTCCCCAAGAATTGAAACTTAGCCATCTTTAGATCCTTAGCACATTGCCTGGCACATAGTATACACATACAAATGTTTGTCAAATGGAACCATTCTCTTTTATTTCCTTCATTTCTTTGTTTTTGTAGTAACAGTTTTATTGAAACATATTCCACATACCATAGACCTCACACACTGAAAGTGCACAAAACATATCCATGAAAAACAATGGTTTTTCATTCAGTAGTTTTTAGTATATTCAGAGTTGTGCAACCATCAACACTATACAATTCCAGAACATTCTTGTCACCATGAAAAGAAACTCTGTACCCATTAGCAGTTACTCCCCATTACTCCCTCCCTCCAGGCCTTGTCATCCACTAATCCAATTTCTTTCTCTATGAATTTGCCTATTCTAGACATCTCATAGAAATGAAATCATACAACATCTGGCTTCTTTCTTTTAACATAATGTCTTCATTTCATAAATGTTCATCCATGTTGTAGCCTATGTCAGTACTTCATTCCTTCTCACAGCTGAATAAATTCCATTGTATGAATGTACTACCTTTTGTTTATCCATTCACCATTTGTTGGGCATTTGGGTTGTTTCCATCCCTTGGATATTATGAATAATGCTGCTTTGAACATTCCTGTACAGGTTTGTGTGTGGACATGTATTTTCAGTTCTCTTGGGAACACACCTAGGAGTGGAATTGCTGGGTCATATGTAATTTTATGTTTAGCCTTTTGAGGAACTGCCAAACTATTTTCTAAGGCACATTTTACATTCTTACCAGCAATATATAAAGGTTCAGATTTCTCCATATCCTTACCAACATTTGTTATTGTCCACCATTTTTATTATAACCATACTAGAGGATGTTAAGTGGTGTCTCATTGTGGTTTGGGCTTTGCATTTCCTTGTGGTGCTGTTCAGCATCTTTCATGTTCTTTCCTTCATCTTCACCTTTTCTTCTCTCATTGAGGAATGACCAGGACTGGAAGTACAGAACTCAGTTTCCTACACGTGCGCCTACCAAGGGAAGAAACCATGCCTTACTTGTTTTTATATTCTCAGCACCAAGCACAGTGCTAAGCGCATAGTACATGCTAAATAAATGTTTTCTGAACTTATGAATAGATGAATGATTGAATAAACACACAAATCATTCCAGTCCCCTTATTTTCTGTCCCAATCCCTCCCAGAATGCTCTTTTTAAAAATGTCTGATGGAAGTTTTGAAACTCTTGAAGTAAATTCAACAGATGACTCATGGTTTGCATGATGCAAAAGTAAACTAAGAAAAGCTGTGATATTTAAGAAGATAATCCTGTACATTACCGGATCTCACTCTGAAGTCATTTGTCTCCCTCCCAAGAAGGGCCATTTTTCTAAAATAAAGTCTGAGCAAAGTAATTTCTAAGAAATTGTGAAAAGGACTCATTTTCTTCTGTTTTCTTTGTGGATTTTTTTCTGAAATGTAAGCCCTCTGTGACCTAGTTTAATAAAAGATATAAGAAAATGTCATGGTAAAGCATACAGCAAATCATCTGTCATTTCAACCTGGCTAATCTTTATTGAAACCGTAAGAGTTTACCAAGTCAAAGAACTTCATAAGGGGCCATGATCTGGGAAAGGAATGATTTTGTTTTCTCAGCCTTTCCCTTCTCCACATCCCAACAAAGCAGACCTTATTTTGATTTCTGCACTCATCTAAAGATATGTGCTTCAATGGTAAACCACTGACACCATATGAAACTGAATTTGCCCCTTAGAATCAGTTTCTTGTGTTTGGACATTGTCTACAAGTGAAGGGCAAGAGGCAAAGACCGGTGGGAAGTAGGCTGCTTCTGTTTGGTTTTTAAACTTTAGTTTCCTGGGTCAAAGAATTTAAACTAATAAACCAATAGTACACGAACAAAGAGAGTTATCATGGTTGGACATTCTTTTTTTAATTAATAAATAGAGCCTCCATTATTTCACATCACCCAGAATTGTTGGGTTTTGTCTCATAACGGCACAAGTTTACCAAAAGAAATTTTTTAGATGGCTTTGTTCATTCTACTTAAAGTTAACTGTCTATTTTTAGAAAAAGACAAGCATTACTTATACTAGAAGTTAGGAGATCTGGTTAGAAGATCTCTGCTTTAATTTCTAGTGTGACCCTCAGGAAGGCCAAGCAAACCTCTGAAAGTCTGTTCGCCTCACAAGTAGTTGATGATCTCCGAGCTGTAAAGTTTTCTGAATTTATTGCATGGTGCCTTGATTCCAAAGTGGATCCAGTCTTCTAAGAAAAAATTCTGAAAAAAAGCCTTGCAAAAGAGATTATGTTCTCCAGAACCCAGAGCACTCCAGATGTCTCAAATCTTGGCCTCTCTGTATGATTCATTGGCTCCAACAGCCTTCAGATATATTCCCACCTGCAGAGCAAGAATGATCACACCTATTTCTAAGGCATTCTGAAATCCTGGGCCTCCTATCCAACTCTATATGTATGAGAGAATGTAGCGGATAAGTATAAGATACGAGAGGAAGTATATGAAGTCAGGGAAAGACTTCAAATTTTTTCTTGTTAAATATTTTATTTACCTTTTATATTTAAAACTAAAGGATGACAAGATGTAAACGCTAAAGCACAAATTGGATTAAAGTGTATAAAACAATTTGGTCCTGCCTCCTCCCTCATGCACTTTATCTCCTGTCCTCCTTTTATCCTCTGCCAAGCTATGGTGTGTCTTTGACTTTAGCGTGATATTTTCTCCTCACATTCCTCTTTTTTCCTTCTTCACAGGGTACATCCCCAGTTATTTAGACAAGGACGAGCTATGTGTAGTGTGTGGTGACAAAGCCACCGGGTATCACTACCGCTGCATCACCTGTGAAGGCTGCAAGGTAATTGCCCTGGGACCAGTGAGCTCAGAGCTCAGCCCAGCTCTAGTCCCCCTCCCAGGATTCCATCAGAATGCAACATGAAGTTTAAGTTCAAATTAGAACCAAATTCCAACATTCACGGCCTCAGATCATCCACAGCCTGTGTCTGGCTGCCCTCCTCAATTTTTGGCATGTTTAAGAACTGAATTTTTTTTTTTCCCCAAATCCACAATAACTAAATGGATTTGCAAGAGTGTAATGTCTGGCTTTTAAGACAGGGAGAGAACTAATAAGATGAAAAGAAATTAATATTCTCTCTGTGAATTTAAAAATGCATAGATATTTTATAATATATTAGCCCAAGAAATAACGATTTCTCCTCTTGTTTTATCTCCAGTGGTTAAGGACACAGAATGTACTCTACCACACGCTATTAATCTGAGTAAATATGCCCACTTTTGTTTATTTTTTTAATATGCTCACTTTTAAGGGTTCCATTAGAGAGTATCTTTGAGGCTACTTAGATTCAATTATGTTCTGAAATTATCCAAATTGGCTTTCTGCACAGCTTTCAGCCAGTAAGTGAATTCTGGACATCCATCAGCTAATTTTATGCTCTACAGACCCATCTACAGGAGATTCTTGACAAGAATACACCCATGATCAACAGTTCACTTCCCGAAAGTGAGCCTAAATTTGCCTACTTAACACTCTTCATCATCAAAATTAAGATGAACTTTCTGGCAAATATCTTTTGGTCCAACAACCTAGCCTAGAAAATAAAGTCTGCTATAAAAATAAATAAAGCTCAACCCAGTGCTAGATCCAGCGTTCAGCTAATGTTTTATAAATGAGGAAGTATATTAAGTCAGGGAAAGACTTCTTAAATGTTTACTTGCTAAATGTTTTATTTACTTTTTATATTTAAAACCAAATGATCCCAAGATGTAAATCCTAAGGCAAAGATTGTATTAAACTTGTATAAAACAATTCAGTCTTCCCTCCTCTGTCACCCACCTCACCTCCTCCTCTCTGTTCCCCTCCTTCAACTACCCCCGTTTCCTCCTAACCCTTGACCCTGAACCCCAAAAATCAGCATGGTAGCTTGGTTTCAAGGTAAGGTGCCCCATTTCTTAATGGAAGATTTTCCATGCAAATTCCCTAGCTTTTGTGCATGAAATTCGGAAACACTTAGCAGAAGCCTGCTGTAAGCGTTGAAATGATACAGCCATGGGAATCAGGACACATCAGGGCATTTCTAAGTTCCCAACGCCCTGTATCTGCCAGATTTTTGTAATGTGATGTAGTGTGCCCTCATTCATCCAGACACCTTTGATCTGGAATTTGTACCTTTTAAAAAAGATTGTACTAAATATTGCTATTACATCCATGAAAATAATCTTAAGGAGTTTAATGGAACCAAATACAAGTAAGTCCTGACTGTTTATTAATTGGGGGACTTGCAGACTGTCTCTTGAAAGCACAGTTTTATTGGCTTGATTTGGAAGTAATAACACTGTATTAGTTTAGATATACTCTCTCTATAAGCTCAGTAATTCAAACAGACCTTTTTTCTAAAGTAGCTCCAATTCATAAAGCTTTGCCTACCTGATTATGTAGCATTGAGCATTGGGATTCTTTCAAATCAGTTCCTAATGGTAAATTTTGAATTCTGGGAGAGACTCTAATGAAAATTCCATTTAATACTCAACTCCCAAAGTGACTCTAAAGACCAAATGTGCCTTACAGAGAACTTAATGCTTATTAGTGATTGACTTAAACAAATGGAGAATCAAGCCCATTAACCCGTGTCCCTGCCTCATGTATGTCTTCATGATAATCAGGAAATCCATTAGCCTCTTTTTCCAAGATCACAGCATGTTTGGGTCCTGATTCAACTGAGGTTTACCTAAGAGAAGAAATCATGTAGCAAAAAGCTAGATTTTTTTTCAGGCTCTGTCCCTTTATCTCAGATCAGAATCCTGTTTCTAGAATTGCCTCCATCATAAAATCAGAAAGCAGCTTTCCTGGGGTAATTATGCAGATCATGCATTTAATATAAAGACAAAGTATCTTAGAAAAAGACAATGGAGTTTTTCAAATGAAACAGTTTTTAAGAGTGGCCAAAGATAAAAAAGGTTATGCTTCACATACTGTTTATTCAAACTGGCCCTTTAAAAATATTTCTACCCCATACTTGCAGTGTGCATGTCTTTTTTGCCCATTTTTGCCCTGAAGACAGCAAAAATCTTTTGGAGCTGTTCTGTCTGTTTTGATGAGCCAGTTTTTTATAGAAAGAATGTTGATACTTCCCCACAACAAACTATTTTTTTAAGAAAGATTCATAGCATATAGCAGTTGCCCAAATATTGACACTTAGCTCCTTATCACACTAATCAGGGCATCATCTCAGACCACTAAGAAGTGGATCCAGTTCTTCTCAAAATGCAGAGAAACATGTCTGATGTTGATTAATAAAAGCAAAACCTCTCCTCACCAACAAATCATTAATGAAATACATGGCCTTACTTAGTCCCTGGGACATGTCTTTTGTTAGCTCACCTCTAAAAAGATTTTTGTAGGTAGACTATATTAAATATTTTCTATTCGGTTCACTTCCAGAAGTTAATTTTTGTCACTTTTTAAAATTAAGGGATCTAGGGGCACCTGGGTGGCTCAGTTGTTAAGCGTCTGCCTTCGGCTCAGGTCATGATCCCAGGGTCCTGGGATCGAGCCCCGCATCGGGCTCCCTGCTCAGTGGGAAGCCTGCTTCTCCCTCTCCCACTCCCCCTGCTTGTGTTCCCTCTCTCCCTGTGTCTCTCTCTGTCAAATAAATAAATAAAATCTTTAAAAAATAAAAATTAAAAAAATAATAATAAAAGTAAGGGGTCTAGCACCTTTACATTTACTCAAATGAAGTGATCCTTCATCATGTGTCAAATATCCTTTTATTATAACTTAGGGGAAGCCAACATCTTAAAGGGGATTTGGTCCATGAAGCACCCGAGAAAAGTCATCAGAGAGAAGCCATAGAAAAGATGGTACTATGAATAGCAGAGCCTGCTACCCCAACACCTTTCTCGACATAAGCAAAGTATAAATTATTTCATTCATTCCATTTAAAGGTTCACAGAGTAGCCTTTTTGGAAAAATGGATGTTACTCCAGTGTCCGGTGTACCATAGCTCATTCTCTCCTTAGCATTGTCGGACTCTTTGGTCTGCTCCCCGCTTCTAGAACATGAGTCAGCATCAGAGTATGTGTGAGAAAAGGGTCTCCCCCAACAACTTGCCTATCCTCCTAGCAGCACACATTCTCCCTGATGCCCTGGACTTTGGTGCTGCCACCTCTGGGGAAACTCTGCCTTCTCCAGAAGGAGGTATGCTACCCAGCCGCTCTCCTCCCTGTCTGTGACACATGTCTTCTTGCCAGGAATCTCTAGGGGTTTTTTTGCTCTCCAGGCAGGGATGACCCATGAAGGGTGGGTTGGAGAGAGGGCCGCAGAGGTAGAGTAGGGAGGTTCACAGGGCAGCTTGTCTTTCAGTGCTGTGGCATGCCCTGACATTCATGCTCTAGCAGAATGAGCCCACCTTGAACACCTGCCAGGGAAACACACTGCCAGCATGAAAAGACCTGCCCATGTGTGATTGAGTGAATCTTATAACATGATAGCAACATCATTCAAACTAATGGATGTAAGTGTTTAAGGATACAAAACCCGAATAATAATGGGGCCGTTTTCCTGTTAGACCTTGAACATTAGAAATGATAAGGGATTTGCTCACATGTCCCCAGTCAAGTTCGTTAGTTTCAGTCATGGCTGTCATTTTTCTGTTTTATCCTGCTTTGCCCAATATAAAATCCTACCTTTGACTTTTTCATTATAAGGTAGAGAGCTCTTATGTCTGAGTGAATATGCAAGTGGTATATGTACCTAATCAAAGCCAAGGAAAGTTAAATAGGATCATTCAAATTTGGGTTTAATCTAGGCCAGCTGGTATGTCAGTCCCTATTTATGTAACAAAGTTAGAGGTCCCTTTAAGCTTGAGTAGACAGTATCCTTCAACATTTGTTTTTGCCTTGCTAGTCTACTAAAACAGATAAAGGCGGGGGGAGGGTGCTATTTATAATCTGTTCATCTAAAACATTTAAATAATACAGTAAAATTGGATTCAGTTTATATCATATAAGCAATTAGGTAAATAAGACTTGGAGTCTGACTCCTCAGCTCTAGGCTGAGTTCCCAGTGTACTTACTACATGATTTGGGGCAAGTGATTTAACCTGTCAGAGGCTTAGTTTTTTAATACCTACCATGGAGATATTAAGAGTACCTACTTCATAAGGTTGTAGAAGAGACAGAAGGATATGGAAGGTGTCTACAGCGCTTTGCAATGTGCCCCTTACAGTAAGGGCACGCTTTCTGCCATCACGAGGGCTACGATACAGAAGCACCATTGCCAAGACAGGAGTACCATGTCCAAGAAGGTTCTACTAGAACACACCTTTGAGAAGGTTTATGTCACCTAAACCTGGACTACATGGCATCCTCAGCACTTTACGGTGGCCCTCTCCCATGCCTTAAGAAAGGAAGACACCTACTGAACCTCAGGGAGTATGTCTACCAACTGGAGAGAAAGAGTACTATGAAAGGAAAAACCCTAATGCAGTGAGCACTGAGGAAAATTGGGCGGAGAGTCTTGAATTTCCTACTCCCCAAGTACTGTTGTTTCAAGGGTTATCTGAGCTGGCCATGGGCATTTCAAGAGTTAAAAACAAGAACTAAACTAAATCTCTAAAGGCTGTTTAATTACTAAATAATTGAATTATTAATTAATAGAGTATCACAAGTATCCAGCTCCTTTATTCTCCAGTACAAAGTGTAGCAAGGTTCTTCACAGCTTAACTTAACAACACAATTATGGCACTCTATGAAATGAAATAATATAATTTATTTATATTACTCAGTGTTTAGAAAAAATAAAAATGAACACTAGATTTTCCCATTAACCTCTTTTCCTTACTAAATGCCAAAAAGATATTGACTCTGTAGGCCTAGACATTTCCTTCAGCTCCGATTTAGAATTCTTTAGATTCAGTTTGGGCTAATTGTCCTATATGTGAATAGGTAGGAGCTACAGGCCCATACACAGGTAAGGTCCAAAACAATCCATCACAGTTATATGGACACAACATTCTGGAGTCATTTATTTCTAGAAAATATGAAACTGCTGTCTTGGGTCTTTCTTTCCCATGTAGGGTTTCTTTAGAAGAACCATTCAGAAAAATCTCCATCCATCCTATTCCTGTAAATATGAAGGAAAATGCGTCATAGACAAAGTTACAAGAAATCAGTGCCAGGAATGTCGCTTTAAAAAATGCATCTATGTTGGCATGGCAACAGATTGTAAGTAATCTTCTTCCTTTGTTTCATATTCAAGGAGTGTTCATTGGGGAAAGATCTGATTCAAGGAGATCAACCAGGCAGAAAAGAAAGCAAGAACCCATGTGGGTAGAGAGAAGATACCTAGCACTCCCACAGACCCCTCACTCCCAGCTACTGCTGGGTGGTTTCCATCCTACCCCTTCCCTATCAACTTCGAACTCTCAAAGTATCCAGACTACACGTGAGGGGGAGTGATTAAATTATCCTTATCACATTTGCAGGACTGTCAGCAATACTCTGTTCACAACAGATTACGAATGAGCGGTCATGTCCAGTCCCCTTGATAAGGCATAGTTTTATGTATGACATTCGTGTGGTGAGAGCCTCATGGACTAGTCCTGATATTTTTCAAAAGCAGAGACAGGAATTTATTTTGTGGACATTTTTGGAGATGGGGCACTGGCAGAAAACATCATGTTCAGTAATTTTTGAAGAATGTGAAGTCGAGTGCTATCGCATGAGTCATCCTGCCGTTGGTTGTTTGTTATATTTTTAGCCCATAAAAACATTCTAAGCTCCAGTCCTCCTACCCAATTTTCAAAGTGCCACAGCATATGGTGGTGAGATTAGCCACTGGAGTCTCTTCTTCCCACACCGTGCAAGGGATTTACACCAGTCATTTTAATTAATCTAATAATAAAGTAAGAATTGTGTCATTCAGAATGTGTGGCCTCCGTTTTGCCAGGCATCAGGCTTAATGGTTTCTATTGGCATAAGTGTTTTGCACCTCAATGAAAATTTCCAACTTTTAGTTTAAAAAGAAGAAGAAAAAGAAAGCAAAAAAAAAAAAGGAAAGAAAGAAGAAAAGAATGCAATGAGGGTTTTCCTCAGGAAAGAGGAAATAATCACAGCTCACATTTATGTGAGAAACAGGGTACTCTGAGCTAGAACAAAAAAAAAAAAAAAAAGTCTGTGAAGTGTCCTGCTTTGCCCAATAAAGTAGACAGAATGGGGAATCTTTAAAAAAGGAGGAGGTTTGTGTGAAGGGTTTAGGCTGGAAATCCTGGGTTAATCCCCACTTCTAGCTGAGTGTGTTGTCTTCATCTTTTAAAGATTTTTAGCCATTGCCAACAATATGCCTGATAAGGATATGTGAAAATGATTGACTAGAACCAAATATTTAGATGTGTCACCATAAGGGACGGTTACTGTTGTGTCCATTTCATTGTTTGATTGAGAAGTTAAAAATAGGAATGTTTATAAGGTTAAAAAAGCTCAGTGTTAATCTGGCCTGGGTGGAAATTAATTTTGAATGCACCCTGCAAGGCATTATAAGAGCTCAGGCTTTATAATCAGAAAAACTGTTGGGAGTCCCGTATCTGCCACTTACTAGCTGTGTGACCATCAGACCTAACCTCGGGTTTCCCTTCGGTGAAATCATCACCTACCTTGCAAGTCGTTTTCAGGACTAAATTAGATAATGCATGTCAAATGCCACAATCCCTGGCATAGAGGAAGCATTTGGGAAAGGAGACTATGAGTAGAGTCCACTCCTCATCCCCCCTTTAATAAGGGAACCAAAGTGACCTAACAGGGCTCATTCACATTTCCCACATTTGCCACCGTTCACAGGATTTGGATGATCCAATCCAACCTGGATGACCTGGGGTTTCATTATTCTGTTTGTGGATTAGCTGAGTACTTTTGGTTCTCTTCCTCCTGCTATGTTTGCTTTTTTTCTTTTCCTACCAGGTCACACCTTCATCAAGAAATGGCCCTAGGACAATGATGTTGTAGAACTGGAATCAGGAGTCCTGGGTCTTGCCTTGGCTCTGCCATGAACTTGCTGTGTGACTTTTAGGCAAGTCATGATCTCTCTGGATCAACTTCCTCCTCTGTGAAAGGAGGGAGTTGGGCTAGATAATACGGAAGGTTCTTTCCAGTTCTAAAATACTATGACTCAGTAGCATAAAACCTGAGCCTTTCCATTCCATTGATGGTTACTAAGAGTCTGGTAAAATGGTTTTGTTTTGGAAAATAACCCAGAAGTAGATGTTTCTTGTTATCTGCCCTTCTTATGTCCCTTTTGCATAAGTGGTAAAAGTCATGGCTCTATTTACTGACCACTTGTAGTACATTAGCACATTGAATACCCTGTGAGGGGGGATTGTTGATCCTGTTTTATACAGGAAGAAATGAAAGCTCAAAGAGCCTAAGCAACTTGCCAGAGGTCACACAGCTAGAATGTGGTAGTGTCAGGATTCAAACCCAGCTCTTTCTAGATTCCAAAGTCTGGGCTCTTTAACCACCATTGAGGGTAGACCAGGTAGAGACTAGAGCAAAGTGAGTACCTGGGCAGCCTGAGATAGGCCAAGCCTCATTCTAATGAACCCTTGAGGGAACTAATAAAGAGTTGGGGTCCTTTTTATCTGAGGAAGAGATCATTAGCCTCCTGTTTACCGTTCCAGAACTTTAATCTGAAGTTCATGTTACTAAGAGCCATTTGAGGGCAAGGGAGGAGGAACAGAGATCCTAAGAGTGAATCCAGATGATTGGCTATAGTATCATATTGACTGAACACAGACTCATCTGGGAACCCATGGGTAGGACAGATTTTACCTCCCTCTGCTTCCTTCTTCTTTAGAGTCACCTTCTCTGGGGTTGGGATGCCCATTGTCCAGCTTCACCCAGAGCTTTGTTTTGAAAAGCTGGCCGGACATTGGGAGTTTGGGACTAGGTCTCATGTCAGACCATAGCTAGTCAATGGCAGTTTGCTGCCGAGGGGAGAAAATACCCCAGTGTGACCCACCCTGCAGGACATGCTCAGCCATCTGCACGTGGGTAGTCCGGGGAGTACGTGCAGTCTGCCACTTGTCTGCGAGTGTCCGCGTGTTTTGTCTCATCTTTCCTCTTCTCCCAGTGGTACTGGATGACAGCAAGAGGCTGGCGAAGAGGAAGCTGATTGAGGAGAACCGGGAGAAGAGACGGCGGGAAGAGCTGCAGAAATCCATCGGGCACAAGCCGGAGCCCACGGACGAGGAGTGGGAGCTCATCAAAACTGTCACTGAAGCCCATGTGGCCACCAATGCCCAAGGCAGCCACTGGAAGCAGAAACGGAAATTCCTGGTGAGGCTCCCGGCACAGCTAAATATCAGCTGCATGCTCCACATTTTCTCCTTCAGCTCACTCAGTCCTCATCACCCTGGTGGGATGCTGGTGTGACTGCCCCCATTTTACTGATAGGGAAACTGCATTCCCGAGAAGTCAAGTGACTTGCAGAGTCAGGATTTGAATCCAGGGCTGTCTAAGAACAAAGGTCACTCCTTTCAACTGTTGCTTGTGAGTCACTAAATGTTAAGTAGTTTCTTAGGCCACATAATCTGTTTGCTTTTGCTGTTAATAAGGCCAGCCTTAAATCAACTGATCAGTAACATTCTTTACCTGTCAGCTTTCCCCTTTTACACCCATTTCTTCTCCCAGATGCCCATTTCTATAGTTAGTCCTCTAAACTCACCCCAAGATATCCCCTTTAGAACAATCCCTAGGATGAAGTATCCCATATCTCAAATGTATTTTTATGTCAATAGAAGTCAAAATGTTTAGCTTAAAATAAAAATGAACTTGAGTCCAGGAAGACGAGGGGAATGGGAATAGGGAGGGTGTTTGGGGGTGGGGATATATAGAGAAAACAGGCCTTTGTGGGCCCTTGGAAGATCAATGTTTGATGTTTTTATAAAAACTAACCACTGTGAAAGTCCTTCCCATTCATTTCTCCTTTGGACCTCACAATGCTTTGGGTTAGGCTGGAATTACTATCCCCATTTTACAGATATGCAAACCAAACGAAAGGCCTTATTCAGTTCACCCAAGTTCACACTACTAAAAAGTGGCAGCCAAGCTTAGAAGTCCAGGCTGTCCACCCACCTCACCAGATGGACTACCCCACCCCGCCACCACCAGCTGGTGTTTGACCATCTCAGAAACTGACTTTGCCACTTCCAGGCCTGATTTCAGAGTAGTGACCGAGCTGAATTTCAAATAAAGTGGAAGATTTGGGGCACATCTGGACTTCTAAGGAACTTTACACTTCAGTTTTCTCTACTCCAAAAAGAGAATGAATACTAGTCTAACTAAAACCATTTCAGTGGTCACGAGGGTGCTTCCTTCCAGACTCTAAAGGTTTGTTCTTTTGTTTACAAAAAAAAACATTTATTGAGCAGCTACTGTATGCTAGGAAGTGAATAAGTCAGCTCTATTCTGGTGGAGGGAGAAAAACAGTAAGGATTAAATAAACAAGATGAATACAGGTGGTGGTATGTGCGGTGAGGAAAACAAACATCATGATGGGACAGAGTGATAGAGAACTGGAAGTGGAGAGACTTCCCTTCTCTGACAGGGTGGTCAGAAAGTCTCCCTGGGGAGGTGACATGAGCTGTGTCTGAAAGCTAAGAAACAAATTCTATATGGTAAAATCCAGTCAGATCTCTTTATGCCTTGGGGTCTCTTTAGCAAAGATGATACTATTACTAATGATTAAAACCAGGTCTGTACCTTTAGCTCAAAGGCTCCTAATGCTTTTCATCAGTCTGATCATCTACAGAAAGAACCGAAGAAAGTATGGCACAGGATGATTTGCCATTAGTTTTTTTTGTCAGGGCCATGAGGTTATCCAGGAACAAGAGTTCTCTTTGGGAAGCTGACTTTTACAGAGCAACTGTTTTATCCACCTGTCTCCCCTCCTCAGTGGAGCCAATGTGAAATGTATATTTTGTAGATTCTTGATCTGTTTAAGAAATTGTCCCTCTTGGTCCAAATACAAAGAACTGCTTCCCCAGGCCATTTTTTCTTAGAGTGGTGCTGGGGTCACAGTCCCATCTGTCTCTACAATGAGCTTCATTTCTATAAGTCAATCCCCTTCTATGACTGGGATCACCCCAGCATCTCCTCAACAGAAGGACCATGTTCCATTCAGTATTGTCACTTCAGTGTCGATCACATGTGTGGTTGAAACTTGTGGTAGCTCTTGTCAAAGATGGCTGCCTCAAGATCCTTTCTTCCCTGTAGATACAGCTCATTCTCTCCCATGGAGAGGTGAAGCCTATTCCTCTCTCTCTCACTGAACATGGGCTGGGTGTGTGATTCCTTCAAGCAACAGATTTTAGCAGAGTGACTCTTAAGGCTGAATCTGGTGCCAAACCAGACACCAGAAATGTGGGTAAAGAAGCCTACAGATGACACCAGCCTCTGCTGCCATTTGAGGACAACTGTATGAGGGACCCCAGTGAGAACCACCCAGCTGAGCCCATCAACTCTGAGCAACAGTAAAAATCTGTTGTTTTAAACCACTAAGTTTTAGGGTAGTTTGTTACACAGCGTAGATAACCAGAACAGAACTCAATAAATATTTGTGAAACAGAATGTACAGTTCCACTGGCGCATCCTCAGAGACAGTACGGTTAAGCCCTGTGTCTCAGCCAGTTTACATATTTACACATCCCCCTTGCAGAAGGGTCACTCCGATTGAGTATGTATGCTCAGGATAAAAATTTCACTGAGTGAATTATTCCTGCAAGGACATTAAGAATCATTCATCAAAGGCAGCTTTGCTAAATGATATCCATGTCTGAATAGGCTTCTACACATTAGGATTTGTATCTCCTGTGTGGCTACCTCTGTTCGGCTTATAACACTGCTACACATATTATTTCATTTATTTGTATGTGATGATGGCCCATCTTCTTCTGAAAAAGAATTTGAGGAGACCTATTATGTTAATAATAGTATAGTAATAGGGGCACCTGGGTGGCTCAGTCGGTTAAGCATCTGCCTTCGGGTCAGGTCATGATCCCAGGGTCCTGGGATCGAGCCCCATGTTGGGCTCCCTGCTCAGTGGGGAGCCTGCTTCTCCCTCTCCCTCTGCCCCTCCTCTCTGCCCCTCCCCTCTGCTCATTCTCTCTCTCTCAAATAAATAAAAATCTTTAAAAATATAATCGTATAGTAATATATCAGAAGGGACTAAAAATTATATGTTGTCATAAAAACTGGAAGTATTCATCTATCTGGAACAGGAAAATAACTTACTCCCCCAAAAGAAGATTCTTCATCATTTTTCACCCTAACACCAGGACTCAAGTCAGAAATAGAGACTGGTGGTTTGACCTGGGTTTCAAATCTATATTTGTGTCTGTAGAAATGAGAGTCATTGGCAAATAAACTTTTTAAAAAGCCATGTAGATTTTCATAATAATTCCAAAGCCACTCTTTAAAACTACTTCCAAAAGCATTTAAATAATAATTTTCTAGTTTTCTCCAATCCACCCAAATCCCTGATGGTACAGAAGTGCCCAATGTAACCACCCTTCGGGTGTGGTGACAACAATGATGAAACAGAGAAGTGCACAGAGAAGAGAACAAGGGCCATCTGAGCCAAACAAGAGAAGCAGTGTCTCCACCACGGGTAATTCACTTCTACCCACCCCATGGGCGGGAAGACACGTGGCTTGGAGTAAACCCCGTAGCAGCAACAATACTGTCTGTTGACACGGTGTTTTTATTCTTCTCCCTTCGTTCACATGCAAAGGTACAGCTTTGGATGGATTTTCCATGCAAGTATAAAATGTGACCATCAGAACCAGGGCTGGCCTGCCCTACTTTTCCCCGGCCGAGCTGCTGTCTGACTTCACCTATGCTCTGTTGGGAAAGCCTCAGAAAAGGGGCATAAGCAGAAGGGCCAGGCAGGATGGCTGATCTGGTCATAATGCAAAAGCAATCAAGTCAGGAAGACTTCTATCGCCCAAAATTATAACTGCATCAGAAGAAGGCAGGGTCGTATAGTCATGTGCATGGAGATTCAATCAGACAGCCTGAGTTCAATGCTTGTCTCTGCTGCTTTTTATTTTTTTTACATATATATATATATATATATTTGTTGTTGTTGTTGCTTTTTAGTTACGTGACTTTGGGCAAGTTCCTTCGCCTCCCTAAGGCTCGTATGACTTTACACAACAAGGTATAAAAGTTGTAGATATAAGTGCTCAGCACATCATTAACAACCACGCAAGTGGTTCCTATGTGCATTATCCCTACAACCCCCATCCTCACGTCCATCCCTGTTCATCCCAGGAAAAGGGAGAGCCTGTAGTAATATGCCAAAGCCCAGGGACCTTTAACCACCATTGGTCTGGGCCTTCCTGCCCCCCCCCTTACAAAGGTGCAAGAAGATACCCTGTGATCTCACATAGGAAGGGCAGAGTCTTGTCTGGCCCTGTCCCACTCTGCATGTGCCAGAGAGCTGCAGGTTCAAGCCAAGAAGCCCTCAGCTCTGAGCCACCCACTGCAAAGAGGCCAACGGGCAGCATCTGCTACTCACCTTGAATAATACTGATGAACAGTCAAAGCAGAAAAGCACCTAGTCTCCATTTGTGTATCAGCAGCTAGGGACACAACTGAGCTAGTAGAAGCCCACCCCTGCACACACCCCTGAATCTCTCCCTTTGTGCCCCCCTACCCCCTACACTGCCCCCAAGGAGACATCCTGGATTCTTTATTGTCCTGCACCCCACATCCAGTCAGTCAGAAAGCCCTGGGTCCGGCTCCCAAGAAAGGTTTGAGTTCTTCCACTTCTCTCCATCTCTACTGCCGCCCCGTGGTCCAGACCACTTCATGTCCTGCCCAAACAGCTAGTGCTGCCGGCCCATTTCTTCCTCTGGCTCCCCACACCCCTACGCCACATAGCAACCCAACAACTCCTTTCTCGGGACTTGGCACTGGCTTTTCCCTTGGCCTTAAATGCTCTTCCTCTGGTTCTGTGGAGGGCTGCCTTCTTGACATTCTTCCAGTTAAAGCTCACACATCACTTCTCAAAGAATCTTAGGCTGCCCACCCTCTTTCTGACCCCCACATACTATCATGTCACCTCAGTCTAATCACAAATAGAAATTCTTCCGTGAGAGTATTCTTTTTATTTTTTTGTCTGTCTTCCCTCAATACAGTGAAAGTTCCTTGAGGGTACATTGTTCATTGATGTAACCTCAGCATCTAGAACCAGGCCTGGCCCCATAGTAGCTGCTCAATAAATATTGTTTGAACATGTATAAACATACATTTATTCACTCAACCAACCAACAAGCATTCTGTCCTCCACCTTTTAGCCCAGTGTTTTCCACACAGTAGACAACGAAACTTAAAGCTTATGGCCCCCCCCCGAGAAGTTCATATCTTACTATGTACCTACATAACAGCAATAAAAAGTGATAGTAATAAATGCCATGTGAGTGATGTACATGGGCCACCATCTGTGTTCCAGTGGGATAGGCAGCATTTCACACGGGTCATCTGGGAAGACTTCAAGAAGAAAATAGAATATGATTGGGGTAGGATTTGGAATTGGCAAAGATAAGATGGAAGCGGAGACTTGAGAGAAAGCAGAAGTCCGGAGGAAAGGCAGCTCCAAACTGCAAAAGTGCGAAGCAAGTTGGGGAGGAGACATGAAGAGGTAGGCTGAGCTGGCTTAGGAGGTCCGTTAGGGCAGCCAAGGGAGAGGAAAGTCAGAATGAGAACTGGAAGCACCCCAACGAGAAAGCGAAGGCAGTTTGAGCCACGGAGGCAAAAACCAGGCTTTGCCCACAGTCTACCCTGGTGACTTATCCTCAGTACCTGAGCTTGATCTCAGCACATGCTCGTGTGTGTGTGTGTGTGTGAGTGTGTGTGTGAGCAAATGTATCTCATGTCATGTATTACAAGGCTACTAGCTTTACTTACGTATCTAATAGATTCATTTGATGCCAACTATTTGGATTCTTCTTTATTTCTATCATCTTCCAAATATTGCAGCAAATGATGTGAAAAATCCTTAGGGAAGTCACAGACAAGGTTGCAGTGCTCAACCTTAATTTCTCATGCCTCATGTGTTAAGTCAGGTCAATTCATAGACTCTATCTATCTGTTTTTTTCTGGTATCCAAGATCCATTATGGGAATAAAGCTTGATATAATAAAAAGCTTTTACTTTGTATATGATTTTACTTCTAGCAATTGTATTTTCCATTAAATACCCAAAGACTTAAAAGTACATTTTTTTTCTACCCTGATACTTATTTTTCAACAGAAAAGCTTGTGAGGTGGTTACATTTGGAAGTTTAATTTTAATTAAAATTACCATATTTCCTTGTATAATTCCCCTCCTTTTTTTAAACCCTTAGATGTGCAATTCAAATGCTCCACAAGCCCACAGATTAAATGGAAATTTTTAAAATCGGTATTAACTTAGCGACATTTCAAAGGACACTGATTACCATTCAAAACAATCAGGTTAGATCTATCAGTATTCAATGACAAGACATTTGGCCAAACTATAAAAACATTAAAATATTGTTATTTTTTTTATTTCTAAAAAAGCTCACCCTGTGTGTGTGTGTGTGTGTGTGTGTGTGTATAAAACTTCTTTTCTTTTTTATTGTATGACCATGTTCCTTTTATCAGCCGATTTTCATAACAGGGTTGTAAAATAAGCAAGGTAGGTGAGATGAGCCTCATTTCTGGGGTGGGAGGAATTATAAAGACCAGCAAGGAGGTGAAGAATGCCAGGAGCAGCACTGCCCAAAGGAGGACCTGATGTGCCTTTTCCCTTCACTCAGGCTGTGTGAGAAAGACAGGCAGTGAGAGAGAAAAGAGAGAAGGAAATTGTATGTGTGATTATTCCGTCAATTCTGTCTGCATCCAGAAAGCCAGCAGAGCAGTAGCCTCCCATGGGCTTCCCATGCCAACAGTTGCCCCAAAACATCATCACTGACTATGATAACGTGACAGACTAGGTTTCTTTCCCACTCACTTGCTGCCCACAAAGCAAACAATAAAATAAAATAAAATAAAATAAAATAAAATAAAATAAAATAAAATAAAAAACAGAAGAACCTACTGGATAACCCCAAAAAGGTCAATGCTGCCAGTTTGTTATGGAATATATATTAAAAATCCTCCCCTAGGCTGTAACCACAGCTCCTACCACGCCCTTGGAGAGGGCCTGGGCTGCTCCTATTGACCCCAGTGCCCTAGTAATAAGTCAGTAAAAGAATCATCCTTTGCTTTTCTTTGTGCTAAAAATTAGACGTGAGCAATAACTGGGGAGGTGTGGGAAGAAAATGGTAACTGGATTACTCTGAGCTGGATGTGGTTACTGCCAGGCCAGTGGTTCTCAAAGTGTAATCCCAGACCAGCAGCATCAGCATGCTCTGGGAAGCGCAGATTCCCAGGCTCTATGCCTGACCTACTGCATCAGAAACAATGGACACGGGCACCCATCAGGCAATTCTGACACAAGCAAGTTTGGGGACCATGGCTGTAGGGAGGCCACAGTCTTGTCAAAAGCAGTGCCCTCATGACTCTGCAAGTGAGGGATTCAGCTTTGCTTGACTAGTTCTCGGTGCCAGATCCTCCCACCCATCTCTGCCTACTGTCCTGCATCTCCCAACCCTGGGTGCGCAGCTCTGGTCGGTTCACTGTGCTCTAGGCCATGGGGCAGGCCTGAGTCTCTGATCCCTTTGATCACCTTCACAACTTCCAGCAAGGCAGTGGGAGAGACCGGTAAGGGAAATAATAGGAGGAGTAGAATTTTGCCCCCTGGTGTCAAAAGTGTACAGGTTGTGGGGCACCTGGGTAGCTCAGTCAGTTAAACATCTGACTCTTCATTTTGGCTCAGGTCACGATCCCAGGGTCGTGGGATTGAGCCCCATGTCGGGGCTGCACGTGAGTGCTCTCACTCTCTCAAATCTTTTTTTAAAAAAAAGTGTATAGGTTGTAAAAGCCTCGAAGTAGGGGGTAGATGTGGGGTTCCTGGCAGATTGCTGTGTAGAGGCTGGGTGACCAATATCCGAGTCCTGGCCTCAGGGGATTGTTCTTAACCTCCTTGAGCCCTTTGTTTGCTCATCTGCCAATCAGGATTGTGTGAGAACTACTTGAGATAATGCGCTTCCTCAAAGGGGCTGGCTCACCTGCAGGCCACAGATAAATAGTGGTTATAATTATCACAACAACAAGAAAGGGCAACAGAGAGGACTGTTCCTGGCAGGTAACACAGGTGACGATAGGAGATACGTGAAAGACCACGATGGTCTTGGAGCCCTCAGCTAAGGAGCTGGAGAGAACCAATGGACATTAGGGAGGCTAACGTGAGCACAAGCACCTGGGGGACTTGCTAAAATGCTGCTTCTGCACCATTAGGTCTGGGGAAGGGCTGCGATTCTGCCTTTCTAACAAGTCCCCAGATGACACCCAAGCTGCTACACCACCCTTTGAGTAGCAAGGCTATGGCTTTTGTTCTTGGACAAGTCAAGGGCAGAGAAGTGCCCCCGGGGACACTGAATACTAGTAATACTGTCTGCCAGTATTACTTGCCAAGTTTACACAACTCAGTTCCTACAGGTGACCTAGAGGTCTTCCCCTTCAGCCCTCCGAGACCTCCTCCAACTAGAATCTATAGGGCAGACAGGAACTTTGAGCCCCAGCAGCTGGGTCAAAAGCAAGAACGAATCCACAGGGTGCTACTTGCCAATGATGTAGTCTGGGAATGTTGGTGAGGTCCAGAGCTGAAGTCTTTGGTGCAAAAAGGTGATTTTATTAAAGCACGGGGATAGGACCCAAGGGCAGAAAGAGCTGCTGCAATGGGGTCGTTGAGGAATGGCTGATTGTATACTTGGGAGCTGGGAGAGGTAAGGAAAAAGGGAGATGTCCAAAAGGACTTTTATATGCTGAAGAAGACTCTCAGAATACTGGAGGCCTTGCTATTGTCAAGCTAAGGTTGTTTTTCCCTCTAGCAAAGCATTAACGGTCAGACGCTCGACACTACATCAAAAACTAATGATGTATTATATGTCGGCTAATTGAACATAATAAAATAAATAAAAACTTTAAAAAAAAAAGACAGTCGGGAGTTTTCTGGAGGAATGTCACACATATCCCACCCGGGAGTCTGGGAGGTGGGGGGTGGTTAGGGGGTTGTCAGCTGGGGCTTTGTCTTCAGCTTGCCTCTGCTCCCTCCGCACGGGAGCATCCCCACCGCACTCCTCCATCATGGGCCACACAGGCCAGGACGTGCAGGGCCCTGAAAATGCCACCCCAGAGCCCCTAGCACGTATGTCACCTGGCATCCTTTGTGCATTCGGAAGCAGGACACAAATTCCTGTTGTTTCTCTCTGCCTCCCTCTTTCTCTCACTTGCTTTCCCTTTCTTTAATTCTGCAGCAACAATTCTGTGGAACACTATCACCAGGGGCTATTAAAGCAATGGCCAAGACACGTATCTTTGCTCAGAAAACTAAATGACGTGAAAACTGCATAGTTTGTTAATGAGCCAAGTGAAAACTGGAAATTGTATAGCGTGTCAATTCAGAGGAGATTTTCTGCCACATGAGAACGATGATAAAAAAAGATCCCTTTAGGTTCTACATTTAAATCTTTCTTGTTTCTCCTCCTTAGCCAGAAGATATTGGACAAGCACCAATAGTAAATGCCCCAGAAGGTGGAAAAGTTGACTTGGAAGCCTTTAGCCATTTTACAAAAATCATCACACCAGCAATTACCAGAGTGGTGGATTTTGCCAAAAAGTTGCCTATGTTTTGTGAGGTGAGGACACTGTTTTTCCTTCTACATTATTTTTCATTATAGTTCCATCAATTTCCAGGAATGTGGAGTACTATTTATAATTTAATATTAATTAGTAGGGATTTCATCATATGAAAGCAATGTTGATACAAAATGAAAACGCACCATTTCACTCTTATTCCCCTGCTTTCTCTATTCAGTCATTCATTAGCTCGTCCACGTGAGGCTGAAGATCCTATCTACCCATCCACCAGCTCCAGGCATTGGGAAATATGACAGCAATAACTTCTGTTCATTCGGCACTTACGGTGTCCCAGTTACCATGCTCAACTCTGCCCACATTAAATCCAATCCTTATAATAGATTTGCAGGATAGCTTTAATTAAGCCCATTTTATAGATGGGGAAAACTAAGATCGAAGACATTGTTTTTTATCCAAACACTGGGCCATGGCTTCAGTCTAAGTCAATATGCTTTCCATTACATATCCTAGCAAAACAGTTGTGTGGTTGTTTCCTCCTCAAAAATAAGGATACCCCTCACAGAGCAAGGATCTTTAACTCTGTAACTCTCCTCTCTTTTCCTACAAGGTCACACTTTCTTGCCCCGTCTTCATGGCACCTGAAGAGCTCACCCACCTGCGTTCATAGGCTTTCCCTTTGGGACACCTCATCCCTCTTCCCTAATTTTAGCAGTCCTACTATGTGGTACCTGGAAGCATGGGCTCTGCAGTCAGCCAGATGGGCAGGAATCCTACATAAGTTATTTGGTGTCTTCAAATCTTGGTTATTTCATCTTTAAAATGGAAATCATAATAGTATTTGCCTCTTAGAGCTATTGTAGGTTTAAATGGGATAATATATGTCAAGTGCTTGGATAGTGCCTGGGGCCTAAGTTTATCCATAAATTCCAGCTGTTAAGGCTTCTGTTTTATCTATCACATTACCATCCTGCCTCTAACCTTCCTTTTTTGAATCAAGTGGAGGATTTTGCCCTTTGAAATGAAAAGCCATCAGGTGCCAATCTATTGCTCTTCCCACCTCCAAGGGAACTCGGAAAGATATCAAATACACAGGTCCACATACTGCTGTGAACCTCTTATGTCAGCTACCCGAGTGAGAAGTGAATCTAGCCTCACCTAGAAAGCCTGGAATGATTCCATCGGGCCTTGGCTTCCAGCTCATTTGTGTCTTTGGGTTTGCAATAATGGGAGCCCAGCTGGATTCTGAGACACCCCAGACACTGACCCCAGAAGCATTACCAGCACTTCTCATTGCCTGTTTTGAGCCTCCACAAAAGCCATATCCAGAAGGACAGAGCAGTGGGCTTCAGGATGCAGGTGTCTGACCCCCAGACCTAGCTGAGAGTGTGTGCCTCACTCTTGTCCCCTGCTTCACTGTGGTGGGGGCCAGGGTACCTGATGTGCTGGCTGGCAGCCCTGCAGTACCCCACTCGTATGAGCCACTCATACCCCACCCCCAGAGGAGCTGGTGAGTCCTGGAGAAGGAATTTTGACATATCTGTATTTGGTGTGGAGCTTCCCATTTTTTTAACCATCTTTTTTAACTATCATTTATTAAAGTTTGGAAGGTTATTAAAAATAATATATATTCAAGGGTGGCTCAGTCGGTTGGGTCTGCCTTCAGCTCAGGTCATGATCCCAGGGTCCTGGAATCAGAGCCCCACATCGGGCTCCCTGCTCAGCGAGGAGCCTGCTTCTCCCTCTCCCCTCTGCCCCTCCCCCAGCTCATGCTCACTCACACTCTCTCTCTCAAATGAACAAAATCTTTAAAAAAATTTTTAAAAATAACATAGTCAAGATATTGATTCACAGTAACACGACCTAAAGATAAGTTATTGACATTTGGGAGCCTATTTTAGTCTTTTTCAGTTATGTGTGTGTATACATATATGTATATATACACATACACACACTTATATGAAATATGAAACATATTAATATAATTTATACCATAATGTACATACTGCTTATGAAACTACTTTTTAAACTTTTTGTTAAAGAGTAAAAGGCACGTATCATAAAGGTGTAGCTCAATGAATTTTCACATACTCAACACACCCATGTAATAAACACTGAGGTAAAGAAACATTACCAGCACTCTGTTGTACCAGACTTTTTACCCTCAACAGGGGAACACACATCATTTAAAGGTTCTTTCACAAATAAGTTTTAGTGACCACATACTATTCTAAAGAATAAATCTACATAATTTAGGTTAACTGCTTTGACTAGACCTTCAGTTCATTTCCCATTTTTCACTAATATAAACTGTACAGTGAGCATCCTGGTGCCTATGCCCTGCTCACAACACTATTTCTTAAGGGCAAATCATAAAAGTAGAATTTAAGGACCAAGGTATATACACCTTTTAAAGCTTCTGAGATGTGTTGCCAAATTGCTCTCAAGAAGGGTGCACACTCGGGGCGCCTGGGTGGCTCAGTTGGTTAGGCGACTGCCTTCGGCTCAGGTCATGATCCTGGAGTCCCGGGATCGAGTCCCACATCGGGCTTCCTGCTCAGCAGGGAGTCTGCTTCTCCCTCTGACCCTCTTCCCTCTCGTGCTTTCTATCTCTCATTCTCTCTCTCTCTCAAATAAATAAAATAAAATCTTTAAAAAAAAAAAAGAAGGGTGCACACTTTCACAGCTGTGCCAAGGGTGCTGGTTTCCTCTGACTCTGGGTGTCATCTTTCTCTTTCGTTCACTGGGTTGAGTTTGTTTTCCTGGACCTTTCTTGGTCCTCTCTCTCTGTCTCTGAGCTGTGTCCCTTGTCCCCATCCCTGGTGTCTGAAGAGAAACTCTATTGAGGACACTACCCCTACAACTCGAGCTAGCCTATCATCAGTCATGTCTTCCCCCTTTGAATACCCATCAAAATTGTTTCTTAGAAAACATAAAGCTCATGTAAACCAACCACAGAGAGATATTTCAGTCAAAGAAGAAAGAAAAGAAACTATCTCCACCACCAGTAACGAACACGCCATGCACTTATGGCCATGGCAAGGATGAAGGGTCAACATGGAACTTTTCGAGCATGGGCTATGGCCAGCTTCTGTCTTCGCGTTTCCCTCAGAAGTTTAATGCTGCTTCAAAGTCGTGATTCTATCTCTCTTTCAACCCTGATTTGTGTAGTCTCCAAATTACAAAAAAGGGGGGGGGCTACTTTTACAGCAGAGATGCGTATGTTTCCAGTGTTTGTGGCCCCCTGAGGACCTTTAGTCTTTTTCACTCTCATTAGAACCCCAAGGAGGGAAACGAACTGTGTAGGCACCTGAGCTGCCTCTGGAGTGCGCTGGAAATCCCAGGTGGTCTCGAGAGCCAGAGCTTACCTGCCAGAGGCATTTGGGAGCATGTGCTATTCAAATTGTGCTCACAGTAATTTTCTGCTAAGACCCATGCCAACCCCCCAGCAAGGTTGGTGGACACCCTGGGCTTTGAAGGATCTAAAATCGCTGACAGAACTGCCAAAAAACACACATTAAGAACCACTTTGGGAGTGCAGGGCATTCTTTGCCAATCAACCTGAACAATATTCTCCTGAGGAGACAGAAGAGTCTGTGGGAGTGTCCCTGCGCCTCTGCCTGTCAGGCCCTTCTTGCAATGGTCTCACAGTGAAAGTATTGTGGCGGGTGACCAAGATCATTTACCCACATGTTGAAATAAATCTCATTTGGCCTAGTTGCTGGTGATCCTTCACAAATACTTATTCAGCTTTTATTTCTATCTGAACCAATCAACAATAAGTTTTAAAAAGAAATCCTCTACTTCAACTACAATCAGACTTGGCTACAAGCCAGAGCCTGCCCAAGTTTGCATTCTTTGTGACAGATTAAAAAATAAATAAATAAATGGTTTGATCCGATCAGTAATTTCTCTTTGTATTCTATGCCAATGGTTCTCAAGAGTGGGGTCCCTGAAACAAAGGCAGGAGCATCCCCTGGGAACCTGGAGAATGCAGAAACTCAGAGGGTGGGACCAGCAATGTGTTTAACAAGCCCTCAGGTACCCTGATGAGGCCAAATATTTCCCCGTTCCCCGTAGGCGTTAAAGCCAGCCTCCACCTACTTGGGCCAATTCTCCATCTTACTGGTGGAAGATCTATCCAAGCTCAGGGTTTCCTATTTCCTATGATGATCTTGGGCCAGAAATCCCAGGATATAGTCAAGGAATACAAATTAGAACCTAAATAAAAGCAAATCACAGGGATTTTTTTCTTTAATGAGTGGAAGGAGAAAATTCCTATGTATATATTCCAGAACCAAATACGAAATGACTTTTATTCTGTAGAAAAAGCTAAGTAATTTGAAATTAAATGGTAAGGTGGCTAGGTTGAGTTAGCGAAAAATATGTAATACCCAGCATTTTAAATGTAATTCAGTAATATTACCTTCAGTTTTACATAACAACCAAAATTGAACTAGTCGAGTGTTGCCAAGAGTACTGCCCCAAAAGAATTTGTACCTGATTTCATAACAAGATAACAATTATGTGTAATTTATATATTCATTGTTTATGGAAACTTAGTCATATCCTAAGTACTTAAAAAGAGTGTGTTCTCTTCTCTTTGCATTGGATTCTGAAAGATCTAGCTTCAAATCCTAGCCTCACTCACAAAACCCTCATGTGACCCCTTAGCATGTTACTCAACCTCTCAGTGCCTGGATTTCCACTTCTGTAAATGAAATTGGAATTAGAATATTTACTTCACTGTATTGCTGTGAAGATTACATAAATCTTAGCATGATGCCCAATGCTAAAAAATATCCATTAACTAATGACCTTTCCAACTATTTTGATAATGGCTTTTAATTAAACATTCTCTCCCACCAGAAAGTAAAACTCTGATTTTTTTGTTATTTTGCTAACAAAGTTGCTTTTTTTTAAAGTTTATTATAAATGTTATCACATTATCACAAATCCTAATTAACAAGGCAACCAAATATACTTAAAACAAGATTACAGTACCTGCAGAGAAATCCAGTGTGTGGAGTAATTCCAGTGCCTGAGATACTGAGAACATAACCCTAAGAGCCAGGAGGTCTGAATTCTAGTCTCACCTCTGCCTCTAACTCACTGGGTGACCTCAGGCAAAGCTTTTACATCCCTGGGCCTCGGGGACAACATGCCTCTATAAGCAACCTTCTCATTCTGTGCCTTTTGAGAGACCCAAGGAGCAAACTTGCTTCAAAAAACAAAGAGAAGCAGAGTTGCCAACTGTTGACTAGTAGAACTATGAGAAATGTAGGTAAGCTTAACATAAACCATGTTCTCAAGCAGTGATTAGTTGGTGTTATGATACAAACTCCCGGAGTAAGGGATTATTAGCGCAATCTCACACAGGATTGCAATCCCAGTTGGAGATTTATATCCATCATAAAAGAAAGGCAAAGTACCAACTTTGCCTTGGTGACCAACTTGGAGTATGAAAAATGGTTGTTGAAAGTCTGCAGCCAAGTCGGAAGGGAAAAGCCATAGGCTCAAAGAGTGTAGGACCATGTTGATCGCAGGATGTGGTCCCTGTTGCTATTAAGATACTGCATGTTATTCCTCACTGACATCTGTGCCATTGTTCTTGCTGATGTGAGCTGGTTTTTTTCAGCTGCCATGTGAAGACCAGATAATCCTCCTCAAAGGCTGCTGCATGGAGATCATGTCCCTTCGCGCTGCAGTGCGCTATGACCCAGAAAGTGAGACTTTAACCTTGAATGGGGAAATGGCAGTGACACGGGGACAGCTGAAGAATGGGGGTCTTGGGGTGGTGTCAGACGCCATTTTTGACCTGGGCATGTCACTGTCTTCTTTCAACTTGGATGACACTGAAGTAGCTCTCCTTCAGGCTGTCCTGCTAATGTCTTCAGGTAAGTGCTCCCAGACTCATTACTGGGTGACAAAAGAGCTTTTGTGTGTCTCGTGCTAATTCAAATCACTTGATGAGTTCCTCGTCCCCCACCTCCCCTTTAGCTTCAGAATCATAGTTCACTCGCTTTCAGCAAGCAATTGGGGGTTTGCCAATGAACTGGGAACTGAAGGGGAGTGTCTGGTATCTGATGCTCGCTGCAGTCTCCCAGTGTAATAGGAAGGATCCAAAGGAGCCATTTTAAAGACTCTATGAAATGGTCCACCTTCAATGGACACTACCCAGCCTGACATAGTCGGCCAACCCCGCCCCCTTCTGGTTTTATGTACACAAGATATGGGTATGAGTGACCACACCACTCTGTTAAGTTCTGGTTGAGGAAATCATGAGTGAAAGCCAAAATTTGTTTATGGCTTAACTACAACTTAATTTTCAGCTATTTATTGCTAAATAGCACACCACCCCAAAATTTTAAAGCATCCCAAGATGGCGGGGGTTGCCATTCCTCTAGATGGGAGGAATGACAAAGAGTGTGCAGCCATCTTTAACTTACCCCAAGCTCATTATCAGGGATTCCCGACTCCTTCAGTGAAAAGTGGATAATAATACTGACACTTTTCAGAGGGCATGTCATAATAAATAAGAAATGCAAAATACGTCAAACCCTTTAAGGAAAGCTAGTCTTTAAATAGAAGGTAGTGGGTGGCCAGGCAGTTGGGCATCCTACTCTCGGTTTCGGCTCAGGTCACAATCTCAGGGTCCTGGGATCAAGCCCCACGTGGGGCTCCCTGCTCAGCGGGAAGTCTGCTTGTCTCCTTCTCCCTCTCCCCCAACTTGTGCACTCTCTCTCTCAAATAAATAAATAAATCTTTAAATAAAAAATAAATAGAAAGTAGTTTCAGGGGCCTCCTGTGCCTTTTCGGAGCACAGTCCGTTTAGCTGTGCTTCAGTGCTTGTCCCTCTGCACTATAGCTGTCTGCTTAACTTAGCCACCTCTCCCTCTGGACTGTTTCGTTTCTGAGGACAGAAATATGTCTAATTGTACACCTACTGCTTAGGCCAGTGTTTAGTAGAATTTGAAAAAAAGTTTATTGGCTAAATGACTAAATAGATGGGTAAATTATCAGTCACAAGTACAGTAAGAATCCTTTATAAAGTTCATGCGCTCTGGTTCACTCAGTAGAATTCCTTTTTTTTTTTTTTTAAGCTCATCTTGAAATGTATTTGCTACAGAACATTTAGGTATGGAAGATTTTTTTAAAAAAAAAATTCTTTTTATTATGAAAAATCTCAAACCTAAACATAAGTAGGTAGAATAGCGTAAGGAACCCTGTTGTAGGCTGTGGCGGACAAGCTGTAGGGCACCCCCCATGTTGCCCACCTTCTGATGTTTACACCCCTATACAACTCCCTCCCACTGAGTGTGTGCAGAACCTGTGACTTGCTTCAATAGAATATGATGAATTCAATGTCACCTCCATGTGATGAGGTTACATTATGTTATATAAGATTCCCTCTTGCTGATAGACTTGCTCCAGAGACTCTCCTTGCGGGCTGGCTGAAGTAAGCAGCCATGTTGGGAAAACTCACATGACAGAGACCTGCATGTGGCCTCCTGGAGCTGAGGGTGGTCTCTAGTCAACAGCCAGTGAGAAACTGAGGTCCTCAGTCCCTCAGGAGAATTATTCTTAAAGAAATAAAATGGGTAACTTAGCTAAGGACTCACTATGTGACCTTGAGTCAACCCCTTATCTTCTCTGGGTTTCAGTGTCTTTTAAAATAAAGAAATTGAACTAAGTGGGAATTATATTCCTGGAGGGGGGATTCAAGGTAATTTTTAGCTGAAATTGTAGCGGTACAAAGACAATTTTAAATAACATTGAACCATATAGTGAGAAAGCTATTTCTTTTAGAGTTTTCTTTCTGCTTATATCTCCTTCTACATAAGGCAAGGAGAGAGATTCATTTTGGTGCCAGTCTGTCCTGAACGCCTCTCTAAACTCACTGACCTCCCTTTTTAACAGACAGAGCGGGTCTTTGGTGCAGTCTTTGGCAAGAATCTTCAGCTAAAGTTTAATAAAGGTTTTTGTCACGCACCCATTTTGGCGGTTACCTTCTATGTATGGCAAATGGATTTTTATTTACTGAATAATAAAATGTTTCCTCTGTAGTGGGTTAATTTTAACAGATTGTTAAGCAAATAATCTCAGTAAGGTAAATAAAAGGAGTATGTGGAGAAGGCAAAAGTTGTGAATATGATACCAAACTCTATCAAGCACTTAACTGGATGATTCTTCCCCATCCTGATTCTGATGACGCTGTCACCACCTGACAGCCACGTGACATACTTAAAACCTTTTAAAAATCTTCTCCACCCTAATGACCTGGGCATTTTTCATTAATACTGCCAGGACCAGAAAAATATTACAAGACACTTTACATTGGCCCGTGATAGCTCCATATCGGTGCCCCTTGGCTCCAGCCCTTCTCAGGGTTGTCCTCTAAGCCCATTGTTCTGTGTGGCATTAGTTACACAGTATCTTAGGCCTCTTTCTTCAAAGCCTTTTCCAGGAGCTGCTACCACTAAGTTCTTTGGTCCTGCAGGGATGAGCGGAGAGCTAAAACGGAAATGATCCGAAGGAGTTGTCTTTGAGAAATTCTGTCTTAAGGAGTTAAAAACTGTCTTTGACCTTTAAAATACTTCTTCATAAACATGCTTAGTACCACATGAACATGATCAAAATGTCCTTTCATTTTCTCTGTGTCATTTATATGACCCCCTTATCTTTACATCTCATCAAAGGACAGAATTTTGAGACCAGGTTATTTTTTTTTTCCCTTTGAAGGAATACATCCAGAGCAGTATTATGTTGATTTTCTATTTGGATTAAAAGGAAAAGGATCCTGTGGAGAATTTTTCTGGCACACTCAAAGAAAGAGAGAAGAGAAGAGGGAGGGAGGGAGGGAGAGGAAATGAGGAGATCCACAGAGCAGCAGCATCAAACACAAAGGAAAACACAACATAAAAATGCACAAATGACAATTCAAGCCAAATAGGGGATGCCAAAAGCCCATATATTTTGTTTAAACTCAGAAGAGGGAATTGAGACATTAGTGCTGAGCCTTCTTTATAGATTAAGCAGAACCCTGTTTTGATTTTTACTAATACAGATCCTTCAATAACTGGACACTTAAAGTGTGAACTTACTTGATCAGAGCCACAAAGAGCAAATAAATGGAGGAGTACTTGGGGGGTGGGGGAGGTGGTTGGGCTCCCTGGAGCTATATGAGGAATCCAGCCAGGTTTATAAATTATTATTTTTTTATTTTTTTAATGAGGTATAATTGACATATAACATTGTATTAGTTTCAGATGTACAACATAATGATAAGATATTCATATATATTGCAAAATGATCACCACAGTAAGTCTAGATAACATCTGTCCCCATATATAGTTACAAAATTTTTTTTCTCGTGATGAAGACTTTCCAGATCTACTCTCTTAGTAACTTTCAAATACGCAATAGAGTATCATTAACTATAGTCACCATACCATACATTTCCAAGACTTATTTATGTTATGACTAGAAGTTTGTTTGTACCTTGAGACCCCCCCCCTTCATTCATTAAGCCCACCCCAGCCTATAGCCTCTGGCAACCACCAATCTGTTCTCTGTTTCTATGAGCTTGGTTTTGTTTGTTTATTTCTTTGTTTTTAGATTTCACGTATAAGTGAGATGATAGAGTATTTCTCTTTCTCTGACATTTTCCTTAGTATAATGTTCTCAAGGTCCATCAATGTTGTTGTAAATGGCAAGACTTCATTCATTTTTTATAGCTGACTAGTATTCCATTGTATGTGTATACCACATCTTCTTTATCTATTTGTCCATGGATGGCCAGTTAGGTTGTTTCCATATCTTGGCTATTGTATATAATGCTACAATGAACATGGGGTTCATATATCTTTTCAAGTTAGTGTTTTGTTTTCTTTGGACAAATAGTAGTGGAATTAATTGATCATATGGTAATTCTATTTTTAATTTTTTGAGGAACCTCCATAGTGTTTTCCATTGTGGCTGCCAGCAATAGTGCACAAGGGTTCCCTTTTCTCCACATCCTTACCAACACTTATTATCTCTTGTCTTTTTGATAAACAGCCATTCTAACAGGTGTGAAGTGATATCTCATGGTGGTTTTGATTTGCATTTCCCTGATGATTGGTGATGTTGAACATCTTTACATGTGCCTGTTGGCCATCTGTATGTCTTCTTTGGAAAAATGTCTCTTCAGATCCTCTGCCCAGTTTTTAATCAATTGTGGGTTTTCTTACTATTGAGTTGTAGAAGTTCTTTTTATATTTTGGATATTAATCCCTTATCATATATATGATTTGCAAATATTTTCTTCCATTCCATAGGTTTCCTTTCATGTTTTGATGGTTTCCTTTGCTGTATAGAAGCTTTTTTGTTTTACGTAGTAGTCCCACTTTATTTTTGCTTTTGTTGCCTTTGCTTTTGGAATCAGATCCACAAAAATCATCACCAAGACTAATGTGAAGGAGCTTACTACGTCTGTTTTCTTCCAGGAGTTTTATGGTTTTAGGTCTTACATTCAAGTCTTTAATCTGTTTTGAGTTAATTTTTGTGTATGATGTAAGACAGGAGTCTAGTTTCACTCTTTTGCATGTGGCTGGCCAGTCTTCCCATCATCATTTACTGAAGAGACTGTCCTTTCCTCATTGTTTATTCTTGGTTCCTTTGTCATAAATTAACTGACCATATATGCATGAGTGTATTTCTGGGCTATCTATTCTGTTCCGTTGACCTTTGCGTCCATTTTTATACCAATACCATACCGTTTTGATTATATAGCTTTGTGATACAGTTTGAAATCAGAGAGCATGATGCCCTCAGCTTTGCTCCTCTTTCTCAAGATTGCTTTGCTTATTCAGGGTCTTTGTGTTTCCACACAAATTTTAGGATTGTCTGTCCTATTTCTGTGAAAATGCCATTGAAATTTTGATAGGGATTGCATCAAATCTGTAGACTGCTTTCAGTAGGATGGATATTTTAACAATACTAATTCTTCCAATCCATGAGTACAGAATATCTTTCCAATTATTTGTGTCCCCTTCAATTTCTTCTATCAATGTCTTATAGTTTTCAGCGTATAGGTTGTTTACTTCCTTGGTTAAATTTATTCCTCGGTATTTTATTCTTTTTGATGGTATTGTAAATGGGATTGTGTTCTTCATTTCTCTTGCTGATAATTCACTATTAGTATATAGAAACAAGACAGATTTTTGTATATTAATTTTGTATCCTGCCACTTTACTGAATTCATTTATTAATTCCAACAGTTTTTTGGTGAAATGTTGATTTTCTATATATAATATCATGTCATCTGCAAATAGTGACAGTTTTACTGTCCTTTCCAATTTGGATGCCTTTTATCTTTTTCTTGCCTAATTTCTCTTACTAGAACTTCTAGTACCATGTAGAATAAAGTGTTCAGAATGGGAATCATTATCTTGTTCCTGATCTTAGAGGAAAAGCTCTCAGCTTTTCACCACTGAATATGATGTTAGCTATGGGCTTGTCATATACACCTTTATTATGTTGAGGTACATTCCCTCTGTACCCACTTTTGTACCCCAAGTGTTTGCAGCCTGGGTGTTCCCCATTTAGCCTTCTCATGACATCCCTTTATCATTTTTGTGAAACTGCCTTAAGTCCCCTCCCACATACTTTGGGAAGGTCAGCAGTCCTCCCAAGACTTGGGAAGATTTCTTGGTCATTACACAGTCATGGTCTCCTCTAGCTCCAGCTTCCCACCGTGTTTCTTCCCTTCTCTGCACAGGGTGATACTAGCATGGCTCACATCTTTTCTTTTCATTTTAATTCCCCAAAACACCAACAACAAAAGGCTCTACAGGTAGCACTTTTATCACATGTACAAGGGATGGGAAGGGGTAGTTCATTACAGCCTGGTAAACAACTAAAATTGGATATTGTGCTTCTTTGTCTTCGTGAGAATTTCTTATTGTCTGACACTCCTCCGTTGGCATTCAGGCTTCCTGCAACATTTCCAGTCTCTTCTCACATCTCCCCTGCTTTGCATGTCCATGCTTGTCTTCCCCTCTCTGCCAGGCAGCCAGGGGAAACTCAAAATCTTCCCCTTATTATGCACAGTATTTCAACTCTCGAGGTGAGACTTCTCTTTCTGTACCCTAAGAGGGAGGCATTGCCACTCCCACCCAAGGAGGTGATCTGTCTAACCTAGATACATTTATCTGAACAAAGCACTGACTCCCTTTATGTAAATTGTGACACTTCCTGAGACCGTGGTCCCTGATGCCCCAGAGTTCATGCTGCATCCATGCTCAATTCTAGGAGTTGATAGGTCCCCAGATCTGCCCAGTTCACACTCAAGGGCTTGAATTGGACAATGCAGGGCTTCTCCTTTCCACTTTTAAATTAACATTCATCTTGGTTCTTCCCCTCAGACCGCCCAGGGCTTGCCTGCGTTGAAAGAATAGAAAAATACCAAGACAGTTTCCTGCTGGCCTTTGAACACTATATCAATTACCGAAAACATCATGTGACACACTTTTGGCCAAAACTCCTGATGAAAGTGACAGACCTGCGGATGATTGGAGCCTGCCATGCCAGCCGCTTCCTGCACATGAAGGTGGAATGCCCCACGGAACTCTTTCCCCCATTGTTCTTGGAAGTGTTCGAGGATTAGACTGACTGACTTCATTTTCATAATTCCTACAGCACTACTGGGTGTCATTTCATTCCATTGCCTAGATCTTTTTTGTTTGTTCCTTTGTTTCTTTGTGTTGGGAGGGACTGTTTGGGGATAAAGGGAGGTAGTCCTTAGCATAGACATGGATGAAATTGCCCCTTGAATGCGGGTACTTGTAACTATTGCATTTTGTTCTCCAGCCCTTTGATGTGAATGCTTTGAAGGTTTTACAGTTGTGGAGGTAGGGTGGGGACAATCATTAATTCACCAGCACCAAGCCATCACCAGCTCCCATCAGTCCCTGGTCAGAGACTCAAGCAAGCAAAATGGCGTGGAAGAAGACTAACGAAGCCTTAAAACCAAGATAATATGGTCATCTTGATCCAGTCCTGATTTTTGCAGGGCTCAAATTAGCATGGTGCAGACCACCTTTGGTTAGATGTGGCTTTCAGCTTTCTAGGGAAAGGTCTGAATTGATTTTTATCTACTCAAGAGCATGCTGTTGTCAGCACTCTTCATTCTCTCCTGGCAACATAACTTGGAATGTATAGGAATATTTGTTCCTGAAAAATCAGCTGTGCTTTCACTCTGATTTTTATAATCCTATGATTTCATCCAAGTTATACAAGGGTGTGACTGAAAGATGTGCAGGTATCTGACTGACTGAGGCCAACGAGGGAAACAATTTTCCTCAGCAAGCCCAAAGAAATTAGAAAGCTTCACTAATGTCAGTGACTCAACAGTTTCCAAAAATCCACATGGTGTTACCTCAGAGTAGGAAGGCTTCTTTACAGTTTAGGCTCAGAGAAAATTTCCACCAAAATCAAACCGATTTACAGAGTGTTGTCACTTTTCAATGACATCTGATCTGTCATCTCCCAAACTCCTGAAGTTATTTAATCCTGATTGCATCTTTGCTGAGCTGACAACAGATTTCCCTACGGATTAAATCTTCTAATCAAGGAGAGATAACAAGCTGAAATTTGAGTCTTGTTCTGGAGGAATTCTGAGGAGAGATAAGTGTGGTGCATTCTGAGTTGAACGAAGTGCAGTGTTCTGAGAGTCTCTTCATGTGCTGATGGTTCCCTTTGGTCTTAGATCCTCAAGCTCTTTGCTCTACAAACAACTGATTCCTAGTCCCCTTTTGCATCTGATTCTCAGGCTTGACTATCACTGAACAAAGCCTGGTCTGGCCACTGATCCTCCCTGTCCCTCCTAGAGCGTTGCCCTGACAGATATTTCACAGAAGATACCTGCAGACCATGTACACAAACCCTCACCTTCCCTGCCTAACCCGCCACCCTGATGACAAACACTGCAGTAGGTTGTGCCCAGAAAACCCATGGTGACCCCTAATCATTTCAGAAAAATGGGCAAAGAATGTACCCATGCAACTGAATGTATCTTGTTCTTCACTGGCATAGTAGACATGAACTATTCCTTTACCTGCCTTGAGCTGCCTTATCCTGGAAATATTGGGGAAAATAAGCCATATCAGTGAGATTTAACTAAAAACAAAGGAATGCAAGTCACTATGAAAACCAAGTGGACTAATTCTTTTTTAAATAGCCTAGAAATCAGGGTGCCTGAGTTCTAGTTTGTACTCTGTCAACTGGTGGATTTGTGACCTTGTTGGTTTTCTCACCTGGGAGAAAGTCATGAACCTTAAAATCTTTCCCATCCTTAATATTGTACTAGTTTCAGGGGGAGAAATCTGTTCCTTTTTGATGGTTTCTTTCATATTCAAATTTCTAGCTTTATTAAACAGAAATTATGGCCCTCAACAGTTAGGGAAAGCATACTTGGTGTTGAGTCAAAAGAATTTGATACACTATTCGTCAGCTATGTAGAGAAAGGCAGGATGGCCTTGGAAAAAGGAGAGGAACAGCACTGAAAAACTTAAGTGTGACTGAGAATAATCTGGAAGGAAAAAGATGTGTTTAATGCACAAAATGATTATACTGGCTTCTAAGGAAGAGGAAACAATATCGCTACGGAACTAGCTAAGCAAAGAAAGGTAGTAGGGGAAGAGATTAAAATTATAAACATGAAGTTCATGGGCAGATTACCTGCTTTGGCTTTATCTACAGACAGTCTGTTTTGTTTTGTTTTCTCTAAGGCAAGCTCTAGCAGTCTCCTGAAGTCCTTGCTTTGTTAGCAACTGAGCTCTCTCTGTTGACTCTCCTTGAAGAAGTACTCTTTGAAACATAATGCTGAATTACCTTCTACACTCCAGGGTAACTCTGAGAAGCTCTGCGGGTGAGGGGCAAGTTTTCTCTCAGAAGGGAATGAGAGGAACGCAAGCAGGAGGGGTACGGGAGGGTTCACAGACCCGTTAGGCATCAAGCCTTCCCTGGGAAAGTTTCCTCAATTTGTTTGACAGTTTCTGGAGTATATGAGACACACCCAGATTCAAATATAAGTGCAGAGCCTGATCTAAGGCTAAATCTGAATGCTCTGGGGATTAACCATGACTGGGCATTGGCCAAATGCTACAGTACATGTACAGTAATCCAGCCAGCCCCAAGTAAATTTATGTTTGATCCTCGGTTCCTTAAATGCCTTAAACAGGCAAACTGTGGATCCAAAACCCTTGTTGTAGGCTGAATACTTTATGCTGAGCAGGACACTCCTTAAAGTACTTCAGTTTGAAAGGAAAGGCTGTAAAGACTCAAAGGATCGTGACCCTGGGGTCAAAATGATTCATTTCTTCTGTAACCGGTTGAGGTACTTAGTGCATCTCAAGACTCCATCTCATAAAACTCAATCAGGAGGGATTTACCCTGGATTTTTTTTTTAACATTTTTTCTTATATTGTCCGGGCTTTCAGATCAAGTGTGGACCTGATTGAAACCCCTCACAGAGGGGAGACATCCCAGTACAGGAGAACACACCTGTACAACTGGGATTCTTATTTATAAATCCCTTCATGTTCGGGGATGAGTGGTGTGGGGGGGTGTGTGTTGTGCGCGTGCGCGCGCGCGCGCGTGTGTGTGTGTGTGTGTGTGTGTGTGTTTGTAATCCTCAAGTGTACTTTGCTCTTCAATTTAGATGTGCAGTATTTCCAGAAATAGTGAAAAAAGTAAGATCTTTTCTTCTTTATGATTCTGCTCAAAACACCACGTGCTGCCTCAGAGCTTTTTCTAGTCAAATGAGCCTCGGTCCTCAATGACGTGCTTGCCGTGTTGATGCCTCAGCCCAGTGATACCCCTCCCACCTGTGCCCCAGGTGACACCTCTTCCATCTGCAGTGCGGTCTTCGGTCATCGGAATGGACCACCAGGCTCGGCTCTGCTCCAGCAACGCCATTCTCATTGTTCTTCTGTGGACAGGTGCCCAAGTCTTGGCGCCTCCACAACACTAAGCCCGCGACAGACTCAGCCTCCACGGAACTGCTGAGAACCCTCAAAGCATGTCATTGTCAGTGATCCATTTTTATTCTATGGAACTCTAACCTATTTGTGTCATATTGACCTTTTGATGCATGAGTCATAAATTATGAAATCGGTCTTATGGTTTTTGAAATGTAGCCAGCATTTGTAAGGCTAAACCTTTTTCACAAACTGAATTTAAGTGAATAACCAAGTCGCAGTTCCTCTCCCAAAGGAGAATGCTTACAGACATTTGAATCTCTTTGCCCTTCCCAACAGCTATGGCATCAGGTTCTAAAATAAGCTTGTAATTTTTCCCGTTATTTTAATAATATGGAAATATTAGCATAGTGTTTCTTTTGATAGTGATAGACTATAATCCATATTTAAATTTTATAGAGAAGAAATTTTATTGTACTGTGATGTAGATATTTATTATCCAGGTAAGGATTTGCCCGGTGTGTATTTTTTACAATTGAAACATTTTACTTTAATCTTTAAAAAAAAAAATACATTAAAAACAGACACAAAAAAAAAAACAGACTGGGGGGGAAAAAAGGTTTGGCCTTATCACAGAATTTTTACTGTGCTGTATAAATGTTTGCAAATGCAAAAAGTATGCATTTCTAGTGTGTTTCCACATTAATTAATGCCGCCTTCAAGAGCAATATCGTGCAGGTAAAACGCTGTTTGTGGCTTTCTTTTGCACAGTTAAAGCTGACCCACCTTATGCACAAGACAATCAAATATAAATCTGTCCTCCTCAGGATGCAGACAGTACTCATGTAAATTATGGAGCACAATGTAAGACAAAAGAAGACACTTTATTTAATTACACAGGTATGGTTGCTATAAAAGATGTAAGGGCATGAATGAGCTGACATTACACCACTTCTTTGTTTTGGTTCTTCCTAATTAACTTGGCATTTTTCATTTGATTATAGAGCCAAGTTAGTTCTCTATGCTTTCCCCAGAAAAAACACGTTTCTCGCCCCCCCCCATAATGTCTTCATGCCCTGAGAATCAGAAAAATACTACAGAATAGGAAAAGATTTACAGTCATTGGAAGATAAGTGTTTTGCAAACAGTGTTAAGTGATATTGCTAAGTGGGTAATATTTTTTTCAGCCTAAAACTCTGTTAAAATCTGTGATCAAAATGTTTTAAACTATCCAAAAAGAAAATTTGTATATTTGGGAAAAATGAATTTTTACATAGCTTTTGTATGCAGATATTAAATTGTAATTATGAATATAGTGGGCGTAGATAAACTCATAAGCTTCAATTCTAAAAAAGAAAAAAAGAAAAAGCTTATAACCGACATACTTGCCTGTCTCTTTCTTTAAATATTTTCTAAATAAGCACAGGATTGCCTGCTCTTCTCACCTCAGCTACTTCCAAAGGGAGGGAAACAGGGATATGAGGGCGTTTATTTCATAAGCATCTACTAGAATAAACAAATTTCCTTAGGAGGAAGGCACAGAGGTAGGGGGGAGAAGTAAAAGGCTGATGGGGGACTACCTTTTCAAAAGGGGCCACAGAGATGGGGTAGATTTAAATTTAAATTTTCACAGCTCAAGGACCATTTGCCTTCTCCCAAAATATTATTAATGGAATTATACTCATCTCGGCTTTCACTCTATCCCCATTACCCTGACCACGTGTTAATTAGGACTCTCTGTGATGAGTAACAAAAAGCTAAATCAAACTGGCTTATGCATAAAGGGAATTTATTTACTGTAATATCTGAAAATTTCAGGCTTCAGGCATGGCTGGATCTGAGTGCTCAATCAGTATTGGTCAGGAGATAGCCCTTTTCATGTCTCTGTGTAGATTTTCCTCTGTAGAAACATCTTTCACATAGACTTCATGCTTACATAGCCTTTTAACTTATGGTGGCCCCCCATTACCTCCAAGATTAGTCATAAAGCTCCAAACCAACTGAAAGAGTGCTTCTTTTCCCCAGTAGTTCCAGTAAAAATCC